TTATATTTATGCAACAAAAGTAAAAGGACAAATGATTGTGGAAGAAAAGAATAAAACCTGTGAAAAAAAGAAAAGACCTTCACTTCCTTGGGTCATTTTTCTTGCAGTAATGACTCCAACTCAATTTGGTATGACAGAGAAAGCGGGAGAGGGAAGGTCTCGAAGCAAATGACAGAAACACAGGATGAGGGACAGAAGGGAGTGCAGAAAGGTGGACGTGTCAAAGAAAGGGTGTGGAAAAGAGAGGAGGTGAGCGAGGCACAAGGAGAGGGGAGAGGTTGGCTCTGCTCAGGGTGAACGGGAGGTCATCTCGTCTCACCAACATTAAAATGTGGATCAGGGACGCGGGGCGTCACGCCTCGCGCGTTAAACAAAGAGTGTGCCAAACTGGCAGATTAATCTGAAAACTTGAGTCCGAACACTTAATGCTTTAAAGAGACCACAGCCTTCACAGCAGCCCCGCTCTGCTCTGTCTACCTCTGTCCCAAAGCCTCCACTTTCCACCAGGCACTGATCTTTGCGGATCCTCCCGCACCGACGTCGAATGTGTCCGGCTGTGCGGGTTCCATCCTCGCCCTAGAAGATTTTTTGTTCAATCAGTTAAATCTGAGAAGAATCGCACTTAGTGGACCGTGTGAAGCGTGCTGCCGAAGAGTCGCTGTCGTTTTCCAAGAGGACGGAAGCGTGCGTGAAGGAGCTAATCTTCTGAAATGGCAGCCTGCTGGTTATCACCTATTACTGCTTTGGAAGCTGGTCTACGACAAAACACACCGGAGAACCCAGAGCTGGAAAATCAGAGAGGGTAAGCGCGGATTGAAGTCGTGACAACTGAAGGAAAACGCGTCTTGTTATGCACGAAATATTGTGTTGGTTGTGTAAATGAAAGAACTGGCATGACAGAGCAGGACCAGGACAAGAAACATGGATCAATTCGGTGGCAGCGACGTAGGAAAGCCAGGTGAGCGTCCCGGAGAGAGGAGCCGGCAAGGAGCAAAAATACGCTGCATGAAATAAGGAGCTGCTTCGTTTGAATTTCGCTTTGTGTTTTTGTGTGTACGCGCGCGCGTGTGTGTACAGCAGGTGCGTTGCTCATGCTGAGAGGAAGAGGAAGATCACGTGTTGACCCCACCTCCCTCCTTCCTCCGTCTGTCTGTTTTCAGTTCAGTTGCGGTTTTATTGATTCATCTTTTCATTGATCAGCGTCTCTCTTATCGGCTGAGGAGAAGTTGTGTTTTGTTTCCCAGAACCATTTCCATTTTAGTGCCATGTCTGCTAAATAGATAGATAGATAGATAGATAGATAGATAGATAGATAGATAGATAGATAGATAGATAGATAGATAGATAGATAGATAGATAGATAGATAGATAGAGATAGATAGATAGATAGATAGATAGATAGATAGATAGATAGATAGATAGATAGATAGATAGATAGATAGATAGATAGATAGATAGATAGATAGATAGATAGATAGATAGATAGATAGATAGATAGATAGATAGATAGATAGATAGATAGATAGATAGATAGATAGATAGATAGATAGATAGATAGATAGATAGATAGATAGATAGATAGATAGATAGATAGATAAATAGATAGATAGATAGATAGATAGATAGATAGATAGATAGATAGATAGATAGATAGATAGATAGATAGATAGATAGATAGATAGATAGATAGATAGGATTTTAACACGGTTTTAATTGTTGTACAACTTCTTGTAGAAAAGCTTACTTATTATATATATATATATATATATATATATATATATATATATATATATATATATATATATATCCATCAGAGTTTTTGAATTGACTTGTAATTTAATGACAGCTCATCTTGTGAAAACGACCTTTCGATCACTGAATAGCGGTTTGTTCTTTCTTTCTTTTTTTCTTTCTCCTGCTTGGAGCAGTGATGATGGTCGGTTTCAGTTTCAGCTCCACAGCTTCGATCTCTAAAACCGTGTCAGACGTTTGCGGCACTTCATTTTTTTCCCCTGTTCGTTATTTTACATAACAATAACTACCGAGCTCACCAGGGTTTATTTGTCAAACTGCACAATGGGAGAGAGTAACATTTCTCTCCTTCTTCATTGTTTCTGCAGCTTTTTCACATTCGTAATATTTCAAAACATTGACAAGACCGCGGGCTGCAGATAAAGGCTCTTTTAACCCTTCAATATGCTCTGATTTATTTTCTCAACAATGTCTTTAAAATTCCTTCGTTTGAATAGATATTTAGGTTTTTTTTAAACAAACACATTATGAAATGTTTATTTTCATTTTTTTATTTTTGCTTTGCTATTTATTTTTTTTTTTTAGCTTTTCGATCTTGTTGTTATTTTATTACAAGTCATGTGCATAGACCTCTGAAAATTTTGGAGATTTTGCCTTTTGTTTAGTCCCAAAAAAATATCGACGTTCTTCTTGAATGACACAATTTAACTAGAGTATAGGTTATGTTGAGTACTGGCTCTATGAAAATAAATGCTCCCGTCGAGATATATATATATATATATATATATATATATATATATATATATATATATATATATATATATATATATATATATATATATATATATATATATATATATATATATATATATATATATATATATATATATATATATATATATATATATATATATATATATATATATATATATATATATATATATATATATATATATATATATATATATATATATATATATATATATATAATATATATTGAATGCGTGTTTTGAATTTGAATTTATATATGAATAGATTTTGTTTGCCTGAGGTTCCTTCTGAATGTTGTCCTGTTTGACTGCATGTTTGCTGGCTACTTTGACCTCGACAAATTGCGGGAGAAACAATGGATCTGCCATTGGACTGAAAGGTTTCTGCTGACAAACTTGACTGAGAGAAAAAGGAGTCCTGTGGTTAGATTCAACATAACTTGATCGATACCTGGAATGACCCTCGACTGAGGGTCAAGGTGACAGAAATACGAACACAAACAATAGAATAGAATAGAATAGAATAGAATAGAATAGAATAGAATAGAATAGAATAGAATAGAATAGAATAGAATAGAATAGAAAGCATCAGATTTTACTGATTTATCAAAAACGTTTTAGGAAACATCGAACATCTGTTCGTGTCACCAAATCGATGTCCAGACTAGGAAAAACACAAGATAGCAATTACATGGAAAGCATAAGGCGAAACGACCAATGTGTGAAATTCACCCCGTTCCTCTTCTATAAATAGAAAACACGTGGACTAAACGTAATCATCAACAAGATCTGGTGTTATTTAATAAAATTGAAAGAAATAAAGAAAGAAAGAAAGAAAGAAAGAAAGAAAGAAAGAAAGAAGAAAGAAAGAAAGAAGAAAGAAATAAAGAAAGAAAGAAAGAAAGAAAGAAAGAAAGAAAGAAAGAAAAAAAGAAAGAAAAAAAGAAAGAATAAACTAACCATTTACATGCTTTTTTTAAAAGAACGAATCCAAAAATCACTTTTTAATTCAGTTACCTCAGAGTTTGCAAGACAGACAACCATGCTTTTACTGCGCCGGAGCGGTATTTATCCATTTATTCTCCGCTCCATCCATTCTCCAGGCCGATCTTTGAGGACAATTTTGAGAGGACAGGGTCTCTTCGTGCCAAGTGATTTGTCTTTTCTTTCAAGAAAATGCCTTCATTCTTTAAGAGCGGCCACGATGGCAGGAGCCAAGATATTATCTTCTGACTCAGCAATTTGGGATTCGTTACATATGTAACCTTAACCAAATTACTGTATAATGTGATTAGGATTAGCCTGAAGAAATTTACCTTATATTTGTATCATATTAAATTTTAATGTAAAAAATAGATCCTACTTATTAGTAAATAAGTAATACATTTTCAAACAAAAAACAAAACCAGACTGATAAGGGCCTACATTTTTTGATCAAATGATCAATAATATTATTTTTTTAAATAGCAACGTCTCATAGTATATATGAAATACGTATTTAATAAGCCTGTCATGTCGTAAGCTAAAAAATATTTTACATAGGTACATGGAATTTAAACAATAAAACATTTCGTCATGGTTCTCGAACTTCATTCGTTTGAACAATAACATCCGACATATTATTAAATAAATAATACATATTTCCACTGAAATAGCCAATTAAAAAAATCCAATGATACCTTCCGACCAAATTAAAGGTATTTATCCCAGTTATATTTATAGCTTTGGAAAATATGTAGAAATGTGTACAAAGTAGTTCTGAAGCATTCTGTGCAGCCTCTGCTCTTCTCAATAGAGCAAAAAAAAAGGAACATGTTCAAATAGCTGCTCGCTTTTACTGTACGGCCTCAAGCTGCAGGAAGTTAGAACAGCGTAAAAATTCCACCGGGGCTCCCACGTGCTCTGTTGTCAATGACAGATGTAGAGAAGACAAATCAGAAATGATCAAAACGATACAAGTTGCACCTTTACAGAGTCGATGTCTTCTATATCTACCCTGTAGATCCGGATTTGTGTCAAAATGTCTAAAAGCATCACAAATTCGCTTCTAGGGGAGTATATAGTGGATTTACACACGACGGATTCACCATTGCTACCGTGACCCTGGACGACCTGCAAGCTGCTGCTTCCTGTTCAAATTTGTTTGCAAAATAAAAGTGAAACTCTAGAAATAATCAGGCCTCATTCCATTGTTGGCTTTGACAACAGGTTGAGTCCATTTTGGGGCTACATATATTATGTATTTTGGATTTGGATAGAGAATTTGGAACACTGGAGTTTTTATCCAGGATGACAAAATCCTGGATAAAGGATTTACAGCAGATGATTTGATTCTGTTTACTTGATGTTTAAAAGTATGACGACGGGATAATGTGCTATTCTGTCCCTCTTCTTCTCGGACTTTATTTTGCATTTTTATTTATTTAAATTTTGGAAGCAAATTATTTTATGGGTTAAGGCTGTTTGCTGTTTTTAAGGCTGTTTCACTGTTTCACTTTTAATCGGCAGCATGTTGTGAACACATATTTTATTTTAATGAATAGTTATTGTGATTTGAATTGAGCTATGCTTAATTTCTATACTTCTATCTTGTTTGGCGGGGTGTTTGTATTTGGCTGATACTGCAGGCTGTTGAAACCAAACCCTGACGGTCTCTGGATTGTATGAAGCTCACAAAACACGTGGAAGTTTGGAGCAACGGAGCTAATTCCGAATATTTTTCATGCAATGTATATTTAATAAAAACTGAATCCCAGTGAGGTTTGGCTGGTTGTTGGCTGGGTGCCTGGTGGAACCGCGTTTTAAAAGAATGACACCGACGCTGAACTCTCGTTCCTCATGCAAAGGTTTTCTGGTGATTTAGGAGGCCGCTGAACCTGAATTACTTGATGAATTTTCTATCGATCCTAAACACGCCAGATTAATCTCTGACACTGCTACTGGGTGGCGCTGCAGGAGCCGGGCAGGCCACTCTTCCACTCCCCGGTATTAGCGGAGTATGAGAAGAATAAGGGGGAAGAAAGTTGGCAAACAGCGTCTGCACACACCCTGTGTACACAGAGGGAGGTGCAGGCGCCATTAACTCCCCAGAGAACTTTCTTCCGCTGCTTGTTTTATTTTATTTTATTTCATGCTTGAATTGGATAGGCACTTAAAAGAAGAAAAAACACAGAAGATCACTGTGAGGAATAAAATGTCGCTCTTTTTTATCGCTGTAACAACATCAGCGTTTGTTTTATTTGTTTATTTGTTTTTGTTTGTTTGGATTTTTTGTCTGAGATTCTAAATCTTTTCCAAACTCCGGGTCTGGTAATATGAGCAGAGCGGTACGCGGAGCCAGCGGGGGAAATGATTGAGGCTTGAAGGGAAGAGCGTCTAATCAAAACCTGAGGTCATATGATCTTGCGCGTGCGAGAGCGGAGTGAATGTTTAATTCCATTTCCTTATCCGGGGGTCCGTCCAAGAGGCGTGCAATTGGCTGCTTTCCGTCACGTGGAATCCCAACTTTGTTCACTTGACAGAAAAGAAGGAGGGTTTAAGTGAACAGGAATAACCGAAGACTAAAGGGATGACATATAAATTTTAGTTATATTTCTTTTCAAGCCGGTGCAATTTCAGAAAAAGACTGAAATTAATGGCCATGAGCTCCTATTTGATCAACTCCAACTATGTGGATCCGAAGTTCCCACCCTGCGAGGAATACTCACAAAGCGACTATTTGCCCAGTCACTCCCCGGACTATTACGGCTCCCAGAGGCAGGACCCTGCCGCTTTCCGGCCAGACTCTGTCTACCACAACGAGCGCAACCCGGCTCATCACCAACACCGACTCGAGCCGCCGTACACGCCGTGCCAGCGCGCAGTAGAACCCGCTTCAGAAGTGACGTCCCCCCAGGGTCACACTATTCTCCCAGCCGGGCTACACACCACTTCTGTGTCGGAGCAGAGCCACCGCTGTGAGTCGGTAACGCCGAGCCCGCCTCCACCTCCACCCTGCGGTCAAACACCTCGCAGCCAAAGCGCTTCTTCCCCCGCCAGCAGCCGGAAGGACCCGGTGGTGTATCCGTGGATGAAGAAGGTGCATGTAAACATCGGTAAGAGCTGCATGGGAACTTTATCCCCCCTCTCTCTCTTCCACTGTCTGCTGCGGAGATCTGGCTCTGCGTAAAGCTCGGTGTCCACCGTCTGAACCCAGGTTCTGTTAGCAGCAGAAGAGAGGGCTCGCTGCAGGGTTGAGATTTACGGTCGTCTGTTTGCAGGGTCAATATAATTACACCCTCCATAAATTTTTATTACACCTCTCAGCTGTGGTGTCTTTTGAAGTCTGATCTCAGGCTGCTCTGCCTTATGACAACTCAGAGCGAGCCCATAAGTTAGCTTTTATGCGCTGGTAATTCGACTTTAAGTGGTGCGGCTTTATAAACGGTGGACTCCAACCTTCCGTTCCTCTCGTTGTTCCAAGGAAAGGAAAGTTTTATGACAGATGAAATATTCATGTTTATAGAGTCGGTCGTAAAACACTAATGTGAAAGCGAATAGCTCCGGTCTGGTGTGGATTCTCTCCACAGGCTTGCAGCCAATTGCGTTGCAACCGAAGTCTTCATCAGCCGTAAGATCAGCTTTGCAAAGTCACAAGAACGGGTTCATTCGTTTTATTTGCGAAGAACGAACGAGACCATTGTTTCGTTTTTATTTTTTGGTTATAATCGATTCCGTTTTTACAGTCAGAACGACAGAAATCCACCGAGTCACATTGTGTATAGATGTCTAATTTTTCAGATTTGTCGAATCATTACTTAGTCAGTGATTCTGTGTCATCAGGCCTGCACCACTCCTCTCCCCGCCTCCACCAAAACCACCGCCTTTGTTTTTCATTAGCCAGAAAACAAAGGATCCACGCTTCCTGTTAGAGCCATTGCTCACGAAATCCCCGAAAATAATGTGTATTAGGTCTGGATGATTGCTTTATGCTGCAGGCCAAGTTATTTTATTTTTCAAGAAGTCGACACAAAATACTATTCAAACGTCCATTGCGTCTGCGCGCAAGACAGGCGCTCACAAAACACAACGCCATCTGGATGTGGAGCGTCACCTCCTCGGGCCTGGCGCGTCTCCTGGAAACATCTGCATGTCTCTCAACATGTGGGCAACCAGATCATCCGAAACAACACAAACCACAAAAAAAAAAAAAAAAAAAACGCATCTTCATGAACGTGTCACTGTTGTTCTCTTGCTGTCTCTTAGACCAATGAGATGAGAGACTCATTCAGATTCTTCATTTTTTTTAACAATACTCCAGTTAAATATTGTTGCAAATATATTTATCTTTTTTGAACAAAGTACGTGTGCTTGATTTGTTCACTATCTTCTTTCTTTCTTTCTTTATTTATTTATTTAGGGCTTTTTAATGCCTCGTGCCTTTGTTCTTCCACAGTAAATTCCAGCTACTCTGGTGGAGAACCCAAACGCTCTCGGACGGCCTATACTCGCCAACAGGTTCTGGAGCTGGAGAAGGAGTTCCACTACAACCGCTATCTGACACGCAGGCGCAGAGTGGAGATTGCGCACACTTTGTGTCTGTCAGAGCGGCAGATAAAGATCTGGTTCCAGAACCGGAGGATGAAATGGAAGAAGGACCACAAGCTGCCCAACACGAAAGTCCGCTCCGGGACTAACACTATCACAAGCTCTCAGACTGTGTCCACGTCTCAGAACCGCTCTTCCGGACCTCTATAGCACGGCTGTTTGAGCTGTGGCAATGTGGTGCCCGTTCGCGTTCTCCCGTTTTCAAATTGGAAACTGAAGATGTGGCGAAACAAACCCTCCGGAATGTGCACTTTGGACCAGAGTAGAAACTTAACGCTTGAAAAGAGGACCAACTCCACTCGTAGCAGACTACAGGGCCTGGACTGTTCCATAACAAACCTATGACTTTGCCTGTGGGGGTTTTGTGGGAGGACATGTTGTCAAATCTGACTTAAAGAATCCAAAAGGGAGGCGAGTGTTAGAATTAAAAACACAGAGCTGCACAGTTCGTTGAATAGATTTCCGTGAATCCAAACATCTCCTCTGGACTTTTTCTCCTCTTTAAATGTTCTTCTACCGTCTGGACAGAGCCACCCACTTACCAGATTTTGCTTAGAGGGGTGTGTGTGTGTGTGTGTGTGTGTGTGTGTGTGTGTGTGTGTGTGTGTGTGTGTGTGTGTGTGTGTGTGTGTGTGTGTGTGTGTGTGTGTGTGCTTTTAACACGCTTTCCTTTAGCTTTTTTTCTCCTTCTTTTGAAAACATGCATCTTCTATGTTTAATCACACCAAACCTGAGAGTCATTCTTTATGTTTTCTGTATGAGGTGCAAAGCAAAGGGTTGAACCGCGCGGCTCTGCACACAACCCCTCCTTCTCAGACCACCACCCCCTCTCACACACTTGTAAAAAATGGAACTGTCGTTTCTTCCATAGCCCCCACTCCACCTCCCCACACACACACACACACACACACACACACACACACACACACACACACACACACACACACACACACACACACACACACACACACACACACACACACACATCCATGCATAAAAAAAAAAAAACAGCAGAAAGCATCATGTAGCCACGCTCGAACCAGCAGCCCTCCAACAGAACATGGACCCGCCGGTCGAACCCAGCAGGCTCTGATTGTTAGTTGCTATAGTTTGAACTCGGCTTTCCTTTTGTTCTGGATGGCAGAATATATCTTTTGAACACGCTATTAGAGCTATTTTTGAAATCAGTATTGATTGTAAAGCGGTACTCTGATGTGGTCCACTGGCTGCTCATATTCGTATGTTATTAAGGCTGCAGAGATATAGAATTATTTTCCAGCACTTATGAAACATGGATGCGGTCAAACGTTTCCCACTGGACATTAATAATCACACCAAAATCGTACAAATAGTACAAAACACAGCACTAAATAATGTATTACTTATTACCTCACCTGTAAATATATATGAATATAAATATGTTTTATGACATCGTATTGTCGCTTGCTCGTTGATGAAGTGACAGGTTTTCAAGCTTTTAACGACATGAAGAGTATATTTTCTTCCAACAGAAGCTATATTCTTTTGTTCTGTGTTGGAATGAAATCGTTTGCAAATGACAGAGATTTTAGGATAAAAGGCGAGAAAAAGTGATTTATCTTTCTGTTTTTCGTCATTTCATGTTTTTCTGTACATTGAATCAGCGCATATTTCTTTTTCTCAAGTGTCTGATTGTTTTTTTAATTAATTATCCGTTATTAATTTGCAAAAAAAATAAATACATAAAATAAAATAATAATAATGACGATATTGTTTTCTTGTTTTCGTTATAATCCAAGTGCTACAGCCGCAATGATAGTATTTGTTGAACTTGTGTTACCTTCCGGAAATCTATATGTTCCTTTCTCATTTTCCTTAGTGTCAAGTTTGTTGTCGAGTTTCTTTTGTTTGTTTGTTTGTTTTTTTGTTTTGTTTTTTGTAAATAGCCCAAAAATATAAATAAATGACTGATCGTGTAATATTTCTAGTGTTATTCTATTTTTATTTTTGATTAAATATTTTATCCACCTGTTTCTACATAACGATATGTACAACGAATGTATTTCAAAGGTTTTCCCCTCTTAGTCAAATTGGATTTAAAATATTCTTTCTCTAGCTGATCTAACTCTTTGGGAAAATTATAATTTCTTTTTTTTTATTTTACTTTGTGGTGTCTGTGGGTTTGTCCTTCCATCAAGATTTACCACTGGAAGAAGTATTTGGCACACAATAAATAATAACATATTATCTCGGTGTTGGTTTTGCCTACAAAGCCACGGTAAGCTGTCCTCAGAAATCACGAGGCTGCGATGATTAATCTGTCCCGGCCAGGAGTGATCCTGGTACATTACGTCCTGTAATCTCGTTTTAAATCACAAGCCGTCCTTCCGTTCCTCTCCTTAATTTAAAGGCAGCTCAGATGCGCTGTTTGCATCGCTCCTATAAAGATTGTGCAGCTCCCTCCCCCACTCACCCCCCGCTTTAAAGATAAAAAAATCTAATACTGTAACCCTAAAACAAGTTTAAATTTCATACATTTTGCTCACCAATCTATATTTTGACCAGCATTATATGCACATGTTTTTTCTTTCTTTCTTTCCTTCTTTTTTTTTTTTTTTTTTTTAGATTTTACGGAAAGGGAGTGGGCCGGCGCAATAGCTCAAGCCTTGACAACCAAATAGATAATCAACAAGACGAATGGCTTCTTTTGGGAGGTGCGGCTCTCGTATTAATTTTCATTTTCTTTTCTTTGAGCAGGTTATCGAAAAATAGGGAACAAGAAGAGGGGAACGAGAAAATAGCATTCCTCTCGATGAACTTTAAACTAAAAACTGTGGCCCCCAAATTGGTCCATTCGTGCACAAAGAAGACTCCGAGATACTCTATTTGTTGGCTGGTTTATCCCGGACAACTTACCATATATATATATATATATATATATAATATATATATATATATATATATATATATATATATATATATATATATATATATATATATATATATATATATATATATATATATATATATATATATATATATATATATATATATATATAATTATAAAAATATACTTCATAACATAACAATAATAACCACTATTATTATTATTATTATTATTATTATTATTATTATTATTATTATTATTATTAATAATAATAATAATAATAATAATAATAATAATAATAAACCATTATGAGGGACTTTGTCATTTACTATTTCTCTGAATGGAAACAGTGGATGCCCCACACACCATCTGTAAGTTCGTAAGTTTGTCTCTTGCCATTATGTCCTGGCCAAGGCACAAGGGACAGCTCCGCAAGAAAAATGCAAGAATTATTCAAGAACAAATCATTAATCATTTGCTCTTCTTTAAACGCTTCTTCTTCTTCTATTGTCATTCAGCAGTTCCACACAAGACCCCTTACTCCAGGAGTGAGGGAGGGCAAAGAGCACATAGACACAGGAAAAAAAGGAGACGTCTTGCAAGACACATGGAGGATCGCCACCCCCACCCTCTTCACTGCGCCTTCCCCAGTATACGCTCGCGCGCGCACGCATGCATGCACATACACACACAAACACCTCCTCTTGCCAATCATCAGAAAACTCTTTTTACATCCCACAAATGGCCTGTCTTCCTTTGAAATTATATTAACTGTTTTGTTCCTTAGAGCTGAGAACTGAAGTCCCGAAAGGAAACAGTCAGGAGTCCCCACGGCGCACGGAAGATGGCCTTGAGTTTACTGGAAGTTGCGACAAAGGTAAGAGGCATTGCGGATGTTCATTGAGGCGTTTCTGTCTCTGGGCATCCCGCTTCTTCGAGTCTGAAGCGTTTTCCAGTTTCACTTTTCCTGTGAGCATTCGGTGAAATCAGAATGCCACTTGGCCCTGGAGGGCCTTTGATTTGTAGCGCAATGTTTATGTATATATGAGTCGGGGGTACATGGGTTGGTGGTTTTGTGTGCCATTCAGAGCTGGCGGTATCTGTACATCAGCCTGTTGATGTGTTTCATCTTTCTGGTCTGTTTGTACCACATACGGTGTAAAGCTCTGTCATTTGTTTCTTCATATGAATACTCTATTGTTAGGAATTGTTCTTATTCATTTGAACCAAGAGCCGTGATTTTGTTCGTGGAGGTTGTTGAAAAAACTCACTTAAAACTGTTCCAGAAACCGTCACAGCGACTGTCCGAGCCATGCGTATCTGTTTACGTTTGTCTTGAACCCACATGACCCTGATGCTGAAAATCTTAAATCGTAGTTGCGCATTTTTCCCCAAAAGGTGAAAACAAACCCCAGATTTGTTGAGAATATATATAAAAATGTTCAGCCGGATAAAGACTAAAATGGGAAGCGCAACAGTTAAAGTAAGGCACCGGCCTCTGTTAATGGAAACTCTTATGGCTGCACGTTAAAACCAATTTAGGTGGAAAACAAGGAATCTATAAGCCTCCCAGATGATTTGACTGCTGTGATCTTTCAGGCTTTCTGTTTATCTGCTGATCCGAGCAGCAGCCTGGGGAAGCACACTCACTGCTGCCTGACCTCTTCACAAATCAATCTTAGTGGAATGAAAAACCAAAGCAAAACGGTTCTCTGCCGGAGCTCACAGGCTGTGCTACACAAAGAAAATGAAACAGACTGTAGAAATATCAGTGGTGAACGCAAAACAGACGCCTCACGTCTTGAAAACGTGAGCTGTGGGAAGAAAAACATCAGTGATCGTGCAGTGACAGTAACAGCGGCCGGAAAAGGTTCAACCAGGGGACACGTTTTCCTGACCGATGAGGTCCTCGAGCTCTGAAGCTAGTGGCTGACCCGCGGTTACCCCCCTGTCCCATTCCTACCTTACCTCCCCCTCACGCACAGCGTACCTA